TAAAATAAAAGAGATAAATACAATTTACAGCTGGAACCATACAGATGACATTCTCCTGAAACTTCCCTGAACCTGTCTCCATTCACTGGAATAAATATACATTATATGAGTTGTCTTCCCATTGAGAAAATTCTAATTATTTTTCCATGGTTATGTTCAGCATTTGTGTCAAATTTATTTCCTAAGCCTAGCAAACCGAAGCCTTGTGTTATTTTATTTCCTGCAGGGTGCCTAGCGTGTAAACTGAGTACGGGACATTCTTTCTGTTGTGTTTGATAAAGATACAGCGGCCATCTCAATATCTATTTGTTGACGGAATTCATAGAAGGAATGATCAGGTGTAAAGTGTTTTATTGATGACCATTTCCTATTCTCATAGCTTTTTCGATTGCTCTTTTTGAATGTAGTGTTCCCTGCAATGTTTGGGGAGATTGGAGTGGGATTTGAAAAGACTATTTTTATATCTTCAGTTCAGTGTGTTGAGGGTTTCCTTATTAACAGCTAAAAAGTGTGACATTTACTGCACTTACAGTTATAAATGTTGATCCTCATAAATTCCCTAATCTGTGAAATGAGGGAAGCTATTCTGGATTTCTTGTAACCTACAGGCTGATATAAATAGCTGCTGATTACTTTATACACGTCAGTCCTTTAAAGAACAGAGGAATGGAATTGGACATGGCAGTATACACTACCTTAAGGTTATCTTCCAAACTTTTCTTTAATGAGTTAGCTACTGACGATGCATCTGGGCTTATGTAAGCAAACACAGGATTGTGTAGGTTTCTTTTTTTCACTGTTAAAATTCAAACACAGAAGCTAATGTAAAAACACAGGTTCTTATACTCCTTTCTGAACTTCCTACGAAAATGGTTCTTAAAGAAAGGGGAAAGGAAACAAACACCAATGAAAGTGGTGGAGAAGGATAAAAGACACTTGTAGATTCTGAGCACGTAGTGCTGTGGAAGGCAGAATTTCCATCTGATCTTGGATCTTGGAAACGGGCAGTGATGGAGGGCAGGGTTTCTGTGAGGGAGGGAAACCCTGGGAAACTGACTCCATTGGCTTGAGGTTCTCTTCTTTTCTCTTCCTTTCCTGGTCTAGGGATGTGTTGCAAATCTAAAAGAGTGTAAGTTTCCTATAAAAGAGTGGTGCTAATTGCACTAAAGAGGTTCTGACTTTGTTTTCCAGCTGGAGAGATGAAGGGCTGTTTTAGGTCTCCTGAGCATATTCCTTTGCTTTCCTATATATACCAGTGTGGGTCTCAGTGCTGTCTAAACATCAGAATCCTGGAGAGATTTACACCTTAAGCCCCATCCTGGACCAATTAAATCAAAATCTCTTCATGGTGGGCCCAAACATCAGTATGTTTTAAAATTACCCAGGTGATTCTAGGATATGATTAAGAACCACTAAATAATAGTATATAGAGAATGGCACATCTTATATTAATTATTTCATCCTAATTGCAATAGCATGAAATCAGTACTTATGGAGTCTATTAACATGTTTCTTTCCCCATATAAGCAAGAGACAGGAATGTACTTAGAAATCTGTATTTTAAAGAGTTTATGTGAAGCATTAAGATCTTGTTTTGGTTAAAGCAGCGTTAAAAAGGTAATTAATTCCTGAGCCAGAGATCCATTTAAGGTAAATTTAAAGTGGGGAATATAGGTCTTTTATGTATTGCTTTACCACTCAAACTTTCTGGGATTCACTGGGTCAATGTCTATTGTAAAAAGTGAAAATTAAAATTTTGATATTAAACTGTGACAAAGATAAAAGTTGTGTGCCTTTTAAGAATATTAAGTATCAGTAACGTGTCTAGGTATCAGTAATCCTAAACCAATTATGGATATGCAATGCTATTCTCACTTTAGGACTATAATTCATTATCAGTCAGCTGTTATTTAGATTTCCTGATAGTGCATTTAAGCTAAAGTATCAAATATAATATTCTGGCATTGTTGGAAATCTTATATTGTTCACGGCCACCCTCAAATTCTGCTTTCTATAAGTCATGTTGAGTAATTATAATAAACTCATATATACCTTGGTATTTTCCACATGTAATTTAAACAAACTTTGTGTCTCTTTCATTTTTTTTTTAAGATTTTATTTTTCCTTTTTCTCCCCAAAGACCCCCAGTAGATAGCTGTATATTTTAGTTGTGAGTCCTTCTAGTTGTGGCATGTGGGACACCACCTCAGCATGGCTTGACGAGCAGTGCCATGTCCTCGCCCAGCATCCTAACTGGCAAAACCCTGGGCCGGCGAAGCAGAGCGCCAGAACTTAACCACTACACCACAGGGCCGGCCCTTATCACTTTCATTTTTATGCAAAGCAAATAGAAGTCAATTTTCAATGTTAGAAAAATGATATTCTAAATACCCTCTTCAAGATTATATTTTCTATTAGTTATGTTTATTCTTTATAATCAGCTTATGTTTTCCACACTAGCTTTAACAAACTTCAGATTTTTCTTTATTACTTTGTTTTTGCGCTCTTTGGCTGAGACAGTAAAAGTCACTTTTTGACGTTCGGACATAAGCTAACAATAAGAACACATAATCATTAAAAGTCATCAAATTCTGTGTTAAATATTAAATATAGCAACAATTATAAGTAATTCACAGTGCACTTTTCTGATCCTGTGGTAATTACTCCTAGAAATAAATATTGCTAGTTAATAAGCTTGAACTGGAGCCTGTCGTAGGATGATGTGGAGAGTAAAAAGTTGTGAAACACCCTAATCTAAAAAATTATCAAATATTGCAACAGAGAAGATGCTGGTATGTCATTGATTGCTTATTGCGTAACAAGAAGAAGCACTCTTATTCAAAAATTCACATTGTTTCTTTTGTCATTCCCCTTTAACAGTCATGCAGAAAAGTTCAGAGAAATGTAATCTAATTAAGATGGGTATAAAAATGGCTCCAGTCTTAGGAGTGATCCCACTAAAGAACAAAAAGAGAAGAAACCATTTTCTCATTTATGAAAATTGAACTGAGAGTGGCTTGTATTTTATTCTTTTCCTACTCAGAGAGCAACTTGGAAGGAGGATTTCTCTGTTTTAACTCTGGAGCACATTTAGACTAAAATGGACTTTGAGATTTTACATTTGATATTGCCGAACATGTCATCTCTATGCCTCCTAATAGGATGACACTCTGATAATCTTGCTTCATGGTTTTATCTGTTCTTAAAGAGGAAACTTATAGATTGGCTTTGGGAACATAATATTTGCCCTCTCCACTTGCAATCTGGTGCTGATGACTCTGTATTTGGGCTGGATACCTTCTGTGACCTCTGGCCAAGATGCAGCTGTCAAACCCTCATCATTGTTACTGGCGCTAATATGCAGAGCATTCAAGCTGGCTCATCAGATGCTGAAAGTAAAACTTGCTGTTAGATTCCTTGAGTCTGTTCTTCCATTAAAAAACACAAGGGACTTTTAAAAAAGTTGTTTAACTTCCATATCACACCACCATACCTGATCTTTGAAAAGAGGCATTTGGGATTTTCAGGGATCTCTATTCAGAGAATTGTGTGCTTTGAAAGAGAGGGAGATGGAGAGAAAGTAACATTTACTAAGCAACCATTATATGCAATATTAGGTATTTTACATATGCTATTTTATTTAATCCTTATAACAACCCAAAGAAAAATTGCACCAGACGAGTTAAATAGGCAAGCAAGATTTTATTCAAGACTATTGCAATAGGGGTCAAGACTACTACAATGAAGGAGAAAGACTGAAACAACTCAGCTGAAACAAAAGACAGGGGAGTTTTTACTGCTGTGGTGAGCTAGTGGAAATGACCATCAGTTGGAGAGTTGGTCAGCGTGACTAGGCCATCTGATTTTGCTAATTAGTGTTTATTGAAGTTAGGCTCCTCCCCTCCCTCCGAGATCATAGGGGCTGGGGTGCTATTTTTCTTGATGATTATGGTTCAAAAGGAAGGCTCCAGGTTGAAAGAGACATTCCTGGGTTGCAAAACTGGCAAGAAACTGAGAGAAGATTTACATCTCAAAGGACAGAGAAAGAATTTATAACTGAACATTTTCTAAAGTAAATGCTTTCAGGAAAGGGAAGTCAGAGTCCTCTAGTCAGGAAGAAACTTGTGTCAAGTATAGTCAAGCTGAGGGAACGCTCAGGCCATCTTGATCCCTTTAAGCTAAATGTTTATTCCCCTTGTTACTAAGAGGCTGAGGCCTGGAGAGGTTAAGTTTACTTGCCTGGGATCTCCCAGCTATTTAGTGACAAGAGGTGTAACCTGACCTCAATTCGGATCTGCTCCAAAACCTGTGAACTTCCCAGTACACTTTAAGCTTTGTAAAAATCCCAGGGGAGAGGAAAACACTGGCTACATAAGAGTGTTTCACAGGGAGAGTTCTTAATTATTTTCCTAAAGCTCTCCAGCTCCTTTAAGGAAAGGATTATCTTTAAAGAAGTTTCATTCACTTAAAACTATTGTATGCCACTTGTTCTATAATTTTCAGCAATCTGAATATTTCACTGATTTAAAAGCAGGTGCAATTTTAGAGCAAGAGCCATCTAATATGCCTTTCTGTTATATTCCTTATTTCTAACAAAGGCTTCTTACAGGCTGCAGATGATTCTCTTAACGATATTTGTGAAATATTTGCCAAATGGCTTTAGGAAATTTCCATTTTTCTCTTTTTTTTTTTTTTTAAAGATTTTATTTTTTCCTTTTTCTCCCCAAAGCCCCCCGGTACTTAGTTGTGTATTCTTCGTTGTGGGTTCTTCTATTTGTGGCATGTGGGATGCCACCTCAGCGTGGTCTGATGATCAGTGCCATGTCCGCACCCAGGACTCGAACCAACGAAACACTGGGCCACCTGCAGCGGAGCGCGCGAACTCAACCACTTGGCCACGGGGCCAGCCCCTCCATTTTTCTCTCTTAAATGAAAATCGTTTGTAGTACTTATGATTTAAGGCATCATTTTTGATGAGAGAAAGAAAAACACAAGGAAAATTAAAGAAAACTTCTATTAATAAAGGGAGTTTCTTTCATTAAAATCTTAAGAGAAACAAGATATGAAAAAGTCATCAGGGCCTCTGAAGGATAAGGGGCAATTCTCTTGCATATCAGACTTAGGCTTGGCAGCTGGGGAAGGGTCACCAGGCTCCAGAGTCCTGTGGTAGGGCATAAACCGATGGCCCAAGGAGACTGAAATCTTCTTCCCAGTTGGTTACTGATAAGTTTTTAGGTTCTAGGAATGGAAGAAAACATATAACTTTCTTTGTACATACTCAGCATCCATGAAAATATTTAACATTTTTTACTTTAATAACATTTGTCTTGATTTTTAATTTATCAAATGACAACCATCTATTTTTTCAGGGTTTCCGGTGACAGTAAAATATACCTCTTACCCTCCAGGAAAATCCCTTCTGGAATTAGTAACTGCCAGGGTTAAACCTTCACCCTTCCCAGTCATGCATTTACTATAAGAAAAGAAGTCAATGTTGTTCATTGTTCCTTGCTTTTAATCTTACGTTGTATGAAAGACGAAAGACTCCTTTTTTGTTGTTGTTAATGAATGCATCAAAAGCTTAGAAAATTCCAATCAAGTGTTCTAGTCATAGCTATCAGTTATTTATCTCAGCTTTTCAATAGAATGATGATTACTTGATTTTCTTCTATCAAAAGTGTTGTTCTCTTTTATAATAGCACTAATGAGCTCCTGGTTGGATTTTAATTGTCAGGAAATAATGTCCTTAGGATACTTTGCATGAAACATCTTAAAACATCTTTATTTGAATATACCACTGTTCTGGTAAACTTCCAACGGGAAAAGCTAAAAATGCTGTTATTATTCTTGAGGAAATAAAATGAAAAGTGCAAAAGACATACTAGTGATTTTATGAGGTACCAGGAGCCAGTATCGAGTACTGTAAACAACAGGAGAAAGACTGTAGATTGTATTAAGCATGTCTATTTCAAAAGGAGACCAGAATTGAACTAAATGTACGTGTACACCTTCAATTTTTTGAGAGTTTGGGAAAATAGCAGAATTCAAGAAGGTGCATTGGACATTATCTAACACATTTGCTTTGAATTAGCATTTAGTTATAACTGCATCCCTTGCCATTTTTAACTGATCGTCTGCAGATGATGCCAATAGTTGCAGTGAGATTTTGCAGGGAAAACATTTATCATTGTCTATTCAAAATATCTTCTTCATTTATTTTAGTTTTGGGCGTTTCTTTTAAAAATTCTTGTAATTATATCTAAATTTGTATATGATAATCTCTTTCTGGAAAAATTTATACTGAAAAGAAAGTTTTTATTAACACAAAAAAATCTGAATAAAACCCCTTTGATCTTAGCTTGATATTTCAAAACCAGCACAATGGCCTGATTTAAACAGCATTAGTTTTGGTGATGGTTTGTTTTCAAATTCGCAGTGGTTTGCTACAAGTTGATATATACAAGAATTTTGAACTTACAAAATGTTTGTTCTTCTAGAAGCAAATACCAATTTAGAAATATCACAGCTATCATCTTGAAATAAGGATACTGTTTCCCTCATGAAAATGACGTCTGACATAACCCTACAAATAATGAGATCTTTCTAATGGTTTTTCCAATAAGTGTTATGGAAGTAAGACTTAATAATTTACATTTCCTTGTACAGCTTTACTCTCTCAGATGATTCCCTTAAGTGGACTACAGAATTTCTAAATTTTCAAGAAAATAAACTTTATAAAAGTAAACAGACTGCAACTTGATGAATTGTAGAGGGGATGGGACGCTGGGATATCACTTATTTGGATACAAACTCAGTTTAATCCTCACTAGCCCATCTGCCTCCAAATTCCAGGTGGTTTTGATCTGCTCTGGGAAAGTTGGAGCTATAGGAAGTCTTAGAAGTGAGGATTTCTCTCAGCCCAAATTATTAAGCAAGAACTAGTATTATTGTGACCCTAGAAGGCATAGGAATAGATATTTTAGAACTTAGAGATTATATGGGCCACATTCTCCATTAAACATGAAGAACTGAACCCAGGACTCAACTTCTGTTTAACCGTGTTATTGCACTATAGCTACTTTTCCTCATTATTCCAAAAGTGGAAAATAAGTCGTATATGAAATTCGATGGGACATGTGTCAGACGGCCAGTCTGGAAGTGGTTCTGGTGCACTCACTGATGCCTTAGTGCAGAGTGAAAGCAAGTCACATTCCTTTTTTCATTTCCAAGCTTGTCAGTGGGTGGCTGGACAGGAAGTCAAAACACCAGTTGTAATCAGGGAACAGGTTGATAACGTAAAAAGAAGTTGGAGGTTTGTGTAAGAGAAAGGCAATAGGGAATGATGAGTGTGGCCATTTGAAGACTCTCATAGACCATAGACACTCTTACCTTCTGAGATCCTTCCCACATGACATCACATACATTAAAGCACTCCCACATCCTACATGAAATAGAATTTGCAATTAAAAGTTTGGATGGATATTTAGAATTGTTTTTTGAAATTATTTGGCTACAATTAACTGATTTGATTGGCAGTTGTCTATAATGTCTTCATAATCATATAAACCTCATAATCAGAAATATGTTGGAATTTTCACCAAGTGAGAAAATTGTTTTCAAGTGTAACAAACTTTACATATATAATAAATTAAGATGAATGAAGTGAGCATAATGGTACATTTTATAAGCATGAAATTACATTCATTATCTTTATTTTGCAAAGAGTTTTTTTAAATACATCATTTTGGGGAAATTAAAGTAGTCTCAAAATTATTGTCAGTTACTGAAAATCTCATAGGCCCTATTTACTCTGTCCGTATATCCAATGGAAAAAAATACTCATAATGGGGATGTGTGACCAGCAAGAAAAACAGATGGACTTCTTAAAAGCAGTGATGTCAGGAATATTTAAAAATATTCTGCTAAGCAGGCTGAACTACCATGTGCATGATAGCTTGCTCACCTTACCCCAGGTACACTCAATCTCATTATGAGTACAGATGTCTTCATAGCACTTATTACTACTGTGTTCATTTCCTATTGCTACTGTAACACGTTCCCATGAACTTAAGTGCTTAAAACAACACAAATCTATTATCTTATAGCTGTAGTGATCAGAAATCTAAAATGGGTTTCCCTGGACTAAAATTAAGGAATCAGCATGGCTGTGTTCCTTTCTGGAGGCTCTACAGGAGAGTGCCTTTACCTTTTCCAGCTTCTAGAGGCAGCCTGCATTCCTTGGCTCATGGCCCCTTCCTCTGTCCTCAAAGCCATCAATGGCTGGTTGAGTCCTTCTCACATGTACTACTTTGACACGTCTCTTCTGCCTCCCTCTTCCACATTTAGTGGACTCTTATGATTATCTTGCACTTACCTGGATAATCTAGAATGATTTCCTGTCTCAAGGTCAATTTACTATCAACTTTTATTTCATCTGCAGCCTTAATTCTCCTTTTCCAATGTAACATAACATATTCATAGATTCCTGGGATTAGGATGTAGACATCTTCAGAAAGCCATTATTCAGCCTACCACAATTACAATTATTTTACCTATTTGTTTATTTGTTTTTAACTGTTTCCTCCTACTGGAATATTAACTCAGTGAGAATAGTAATCGTGTCTGTCTCTTTCACTTGCTAGTACACGAATATTGGTTGAACGAAGACTGGATAAATGAATGGAAAAATGTGAAACATCTAACATGCTGTTTGTTATGGTTTTAGGGTACACAATTAATATTATATCTCTTACCTGACTATGTTAGGAACCACCTGAGATTTACACAAAGGTCCAGCATAAGGATATCAATATGTCACCTTTATTACTGATAAAAGCTAGCTTGGAGATCTGGGCCATATAATCCTGCAGATACATCTCCCTTAGACTGTAAAGACTCAGCCACCAGGTCTGAAGCTGTGCTGGACAGAGGCCTGCTTCTGCTACAGATGCAAACCTTGTAGCTCAGGAGATAGTCCGTGAGAATACCTGCTCTGCAGGCTGAAAGATCTAGGAAGAGGAGGGAGTTGAGCCAAGCAGCATCATCCTGTTTTCTTCCAAATTTGCCGATTAGATAACTCATGCCTCTTCTCACAGCAAAGAGTGAGGGGTTGGCAGAGAGGGACCAGGAGTCTTACTCTGTGGAGTCCCTCCCATGGATGTTTGAGGTGAGAGGAAAGGCTCTAAGTTATCAGCCCTCATTCAACCACATGTGCCATCTTTTTCTTTTTTTCTTATTGATGAGCTTCTGACTCTCCGTTAGTTCTCCATAGATGACTACTGGCTGGGCTATTTTCAGACTCTTGAAAATATATTCTTTAACCTAGTTACTTAAATGAAGCATACTGTACCTACAGTATGTGTGTGCCATGCTTACAACTTTCTTTTCATGGGCTAGAAAAAATATCCTGACCAATCTAGAAATGCTTTCAGGTATACAGGGTAATTATTTTGTTATAGTATAACCAAGAAGTATTAAATATAAAATGACAACACTGTCTTCATGATCTTTTTAGTTCTCCATTTAAAAAAGGGTATAATCAATAATATGTAACTTATCATAATATAATACAATAAAAATAATATAATCCTAGGATTAGGATGTGGACATCTTTGAGGAGCTGTTATTCTGCCTACCACAACTACAATTATTTTACTTATTTACTTACTTGTTTTTATCTGTTTCCTCCTACTGGGATATTAACTCAGTGATAATATGTAAGTAGAAATGGGAATTCAGAATCTTAGAAAATCTTTGAATTTTTTAACTTCAACCCATATAACTAAACCATTAATATTATGGATGAAAAATCTGAGCCCAAAAGGCATTAAGTGGCTTGCCCAAGTTCACACAGCTCCATGGTGGGTCAGAGCTAGAACCTGGGCTTTCTATTCAGTACTTTTCCCTCTTCAACTGTCTGTTTTATAGTGTAGCCTTTTTTTTATGTGTGTGATATAATTTTGATAATATTTTATAATTGAATTGATAGGATTTGAATAGTATGAAAATTGTAACATTTAAGTATATAATACTAGAATTAATAAATAGGAATATATTGAGTGATATAAAAACATTTGAATACACCTTAACTTCAGTAAGTTATCTTTTTTCAGGCAGTTTTCCTATTTTGAAGGCCAAGTTATATAAGAAAACTGCCCTTTGGCCAAAAGTTTGATACATTTCCCAGATCCATGAATCTTCCTAGTGCCACAAGAACTTGGTTTATGTGTATTATGATTAGAAAACAATTATAAAGAACAATTTTATGATTTAATGTCTTACTTTTTCAGGTAATCAATTTCTTCTTTGTGCTAAATATGTCTATAGTATTATATTAAATAGCAATATTAAGTCTACTGAAAGAAATGGCCAAAGAAGTAAATGGCATGTGTTATTATTCAACATTGAAAAACTGGTTAGAATTTTTATTAAAATCAAACATAGAAGTACAGAATGTAAAATATGTAATTGGAACTAATATAGTCTTCTGAGAAAGAAAGTGTTATAATACAAATTACTTTGCTTTTTGCCAGAATTGACTTAGGGTGGGGGGTATATCAATTATATTGGTTTCCTGCGTCTGATCTTCTGGAAGCAGTAACCTTGTTAAACTTTTGAACTCTGCATGCCTTGCTTTTCATATAAACTATAGGACTTTATTATGCGTGCACAACGCACTGAGGAAGAGCCCACAGAAGCTGCTTTGATTTCAGTGTTTCGTATTTAGATCCTTGATGATTCAATGAAAAATATGTAAACACCCACACACATATGTTCTATTTATGACATATTGGGTAATAAGTAAAAATGAATGTTTCCCAGATGCATTCATAAATTAAAATTAAATGAAAATATTCTTATTGTGATACATCATATAATATTTAGTATGATTTCTATTGAGGAATATTGTATCTTAACAAACCCTTATCGACACGATCTGCAGTTTCATTTATGAGCTAGTACTACATCATTTTGCACTATCAAATTCTTCTTACCATGTTAAAAACAAAGCAAAACAGGTGAAAGCAGTGGTGGTGTGTGTGAAAATCAAAATAAATTGAACTGCTTGATATTTTTCCTTTGGTATTCTTTCAAGTGTGCACATTCCAGAAAATGCACTATCTTTTGAAATTTGCTCCAGTTGCTCTTTCCAAACTCTTTTCATATGAAGAATACATAGAAGGAATACAGGGAGGTATTTCTAGAGTGTTGCTGCTTTATTCACAAAGGCCTTCCCTCTGGAGAGTAAACGCTGAAGCCATCTCTGCTCCCCTCCAACACTGCCCTGCATGGGGTACTGAACATGGAACTGGCTCTAGGTCTCAGCAGCAGCGGGGCTTAGCTAGCCTCCAGTACTTCTCATCTGCATCTCTATCACAGAAACAGCAGGTGAACCTAGTAAAAAGCATCTCCAGAAATAATCCAACATGAAGACATGTCGTTCGCAAATGTAAAAGTCTAGAAGCCTTTTCTTAGTCATTATCTTCCTTCACGTTCTTACTACATTCACTCAACAAACATGTGTTGGGCCCCTTCTTTGTCCAGCTTCTTTCCAAATCCCTCATCTTCCCTGACTTTGTGACCAGCAGAGATCTGTCTTCCCACCTATGTGACTGGTCCTGTCAGGCAACATCACTGGCTTCCGCTTGTTCTTTGAATCTAAGTGAATTCCACCACTTTTGTCTTTAACTCTTATTACTTTTCTCTATACTTCCATTGGCAAAAAAAAAAAAAAAAAAACACCCATGGTTTCAACTATCTTCTCCATAAACTACCATCAGACACCTGCAGAGCATTAGCACTTTATCACAGGAATTTATGTGGTGTTCTTCCTTTGTTCCCCAACTGCATCACCAACTATAACCCCTTGAAGACCAAGCTCCATCTTGTCCTTCCTTGTATCTTATCCCAGCAGCTGGCATAATTCCTGGAAGGAATGTAAGGCTTAATACCTAGTTGCTGGATGAATGAGTAGAATGCATGCGTGAGTGATTGAATCATGACTCCTGAGAATTTTCTCTGTACCAGGCAATGTGCTGAGAGCTGAAGGTGAGGAAAATGGACATGGTTCATTTACTTAGCGAATTTACATTCTAACAATAATTTCTGTAACCATTTCACCCATTGGTTGACAGTTATTTTGAGGTTAAAGTGTTTTATTATAATGCAGTGTTGAAACTCTTACTAAGAAAGATTTTTCTGCACTAATAATTTAAATAGCTTTCCTGTGGTAGAATCAATGGGTCAAAAGGTATGAACACTGTAAGTTTTAATTATTTGTTAGCTCCTTCACTTTTCATGTAAAATAAGGGAGCTATAACTATTGACAGATTCTTATTAAAGTGTTTAGCCAAAGGAAAAATGCTTTCTAAGGGAGATATCGTAGTTGTGTGTCTTTTATTTCTGGTCAAACCATTTTTCCTGATTTTTTTCTGGTTATCT